AAAATCAAACATATTTACCCGAGTGATGATGTGAAAGAACAACTTTTGAAAGCTATTCAAACTGATAAGCCGATACTTATACCATTTAGAAAATGGGATCTGAACGAACTGCCTGCAATTACCGCAGATGCGAGAAGAGAAATATGGTCAGTTAAAACTAGCACCGCAATCGAAAGACCACGTTTCATTATAGTATGTTTCCAAACCGGTAAACGTGACGTCGCAACCTCAGACCCGACCCTGTTTGATCACGTGAATGCTGCTAGTATTCGAGTATCTTTGAATGGTGAATACTATCCCAACGAACGTATGCAATTGGACTTTGCAAACAATCACTTTACTGAAGCTCATTTCAACTATAGCGACTTTCAAACCAGCTATACAACTTCTTCTTCTCTGAAGAGATGTCTTTTAGATTATACCGCTTTTAAAAATCGCGCTTTGTTTGTTATTGACTGTTCCAAACAAGAGGAAACCATGAAATCATCAACTGTTGATGTTAGATTGGATATCGAAGCCGATGCTGGCTTTCCAACCAACACCAAGGCCTACTGCATCATTACACATGACTGCTTAATCGAGTACTTCCCCCTCACCGAAGTTATTAAAACCATCTCGTAAGCAACGAAGGACTCTCAGTTCCGCATCAGACATCATGAGGATCGCGTTTGTTGACATTCAAGGCTTTCAGTTGACGGATTATTCGTACCTAAAGAACTATGTATCGAAATTGGTTTCAAGAAAAGTCATTACATCTTTACACCTCCGCAACCTTTTTCTACATTAAATACTAAAGACAAGAAAACTGTCGCTTACTTGGAGAAGAATTTCCATGGGCTTAAATATTCTTCCGGCGACGTTAAATATTCCAAGTTAAATGAAATAATTAAAAATAAGGTGATATATGCGGCTGACTATGTCTACGTTCGTGGAGAACAGAAAGCAAACTTTTTACTCAAGAAATGTCACATTTTTGGTGTTTTTCCCAACATTATTGATGTTTGCAAGTATGATGGTACACCGTGTGCTACTGGAAACTTTGTTGCTGATTCCAATCCATGTCACACCAACGGACAATTTTCCTGTACCCGGAGAAATGTTGAACGTCTACGCCACTGGTTTTCAAATATCATATTACCTATGTAGTTTTTTTCTATTTTCAATAAAATATTAAACGTATTATTGTAGTTTTATTGGAAATACCTCTGGTTTGCGAAATAATATTGTCGGAATTTCTTGTTTCAAGTTGTTCAAGCGGGTATTCAAAACATGGCACACACACACACCAATCAACCTTATTGTTATATATACTATGTTTCAATAAAATATCCATTATACTATTTTCATTTTGAACGGTATCATCCTGTATAATAATAACAGTACATCGTATACAGGTTATGAGACATTCTGACCGACCGACCGACCAGAGGAGCCCACCACGCTATTTAGGTCACGCCTTGCTATATACGATTTAACGATATACCGTCGGTCCATCGATCCGCTATTTTTCGATGCACCCCTGTATACAGGTTCTAAATGCCCCCCGTAATCCACGCCAACACCAGACAGGTGCGACATCTGGCCATCTATGCGCGAGATGCCCAACCCATCAATGACAGGTGTCCAATGACACATAGATTCCGTTTGGTTTGTACAGCGCCAAACAAATCGGCGCCATCTATGCGCGAGATGCCCAACCCATCAATGACAGGTGTCCAATGACGTATGACAGATGACGTGTAACGCCATCTATGCGTGAGATGCCCAATGACGCATGACAGGTGTCCAATGACACACAGATTCCGTTTGGTTTGACAGCGCCATCTAGCGGCGGAATCCCCAACTCATGAATTTCGCATACAGATTCCGTCCAACAACCCATCAATGGCGCGCGACGCCAGCGCCTCTGGTGGCGGATTTTGGAACTACTGAGATTCAATCCCCATAGACACACTACTCATATATTTATTTTTTAGTATTATTTACTTCAAACGCCAATTGGCGAGAAAAACGAATTCGAATAGACGAGAAGGAGCTACGCCTATATTATTACATTGCATTGTTTGTCGCCAAAATTGCGTACTTTAAGTGCTTACTTTTGGATAATAGAACTTACCGGTGTAAACGTCTTCCTTAATTAGGCTTGTGCCGCTGCTTGCGAACAACATAAGAAGTGTTATGTCATGAAGTCGACTAACAATTACCTGCAAGCACTAGCACTTTTTAAAAATGGTGTCAAGTAGATTATTTCTACACTTATTACGCCTTCATTGGCGGTTTCAAAGAAAAGGAATGATTCAAATCGTTTCAAAAGGTCAAACCGAATCGTAATTAGGTAGGTTCACTTAGGTACGATGAATCTGCGACCTTCGCATATCAAACTATATAAAGCAAATTTATCAAATTTCTGTTTCCATTGCAAATGTAAAGAAAATATGTGACTTATTATGTCTAACAAATGCACAGTATTAGTGGGATCAGCAGCTTCTTAATAATAGAAGGTATTTTACTAATACCAAATATGCAACAATTTACAACCATTTTTCTCATTCAGATTCCAATCTACAATTTTTATCCCCTCCAAAGGATGTCTGAAAATGAGCTGGAATCTCTGAAGCGTTGCAACGCTATGTTCCAGTGATTTTATTTTAGCCGCCTCTGAATCAATTTTCAAAATCTAGGCCTCCCTAAACGATAAAAGTCTTGAATGAATGAATCTTGAAATTAGAGGTATTCCGGCCACCATAAGGAGCCAGTGCATAGGTCGCTTAAGCGGGCCCTTATGCACCTCTACATTCCTTAGATCACAAGCCTCGCCCTTTTAGCGAAGTTGAGAATCGCCTTGAGTCCAAGCTCCTTGACGTCCTGAGGGTCCAAAGTAATGGACCCCAGTATAGTCTGGCTATAGTAGCTCAGAGCTTCACATCAACACAAAACGTGGGCCGAGGTCTCTTCCTCTACCCCGCAGCATTCACACAAGGCATCCTCAGCCACCTCCATCACGTGCAGGTGACGCCTTAACGTGTTATGGCCAGACAACAGTCCCACCAGCAACCTTAGGTTGGCTCTATCCAGAGATAGGCAGAAACGTCCATCCTTAGCACTGGGCCCTTCAATGAGTTCCAGTGCCTGGCGGAGATGTCTGGAGATACTTCTCCATTTCTGAGAGTGTTGTCTTGCAACCCACATTTCCATTTTCCTCCTAAATGTCTTAAACATTGTGATAATATTCGAGCTTCGGTTCACAAGTTTTCTGTTGTTAAAGATATCTGCATCACATAAGTCAGTATTAATCATTTATGTCGGTTTGTCAGTCCATGTGTATTGTATATCGATGCGTCAAAAATACTGAGTCAATCTACTTGACGAAATATTGAGAGAACCATCCTAGACGGAGTAATACAAATTTAAGGTTAGACAAAATAGGTGGTACAGTTAAGTCATCATTTACAAAATCATCTCAGAACTCAGAACTTTAACCACCGCAGACCAGTTTGTTACTCGTTGCTCGGTAGCAGTGGCCTCTACGACTATGCAGCATCGCGCCGTGCACGCAACGCCAAGGATCACCATGTTATTTCGAATCATGAGCACATTATACATCGGACTTTTATCAATTCACTTTCCCGCTGTTACCGCGATCAGAAGAACGTCTCTGACTTATACTAGAGTTGTTACGTCTACAACCCCTAGCCCTCAAGCTTCAACCCCTACAAAATATTTTCTAAAAATGATCAGGAGCCTCTAAGACGTCAAAAAACGAAGTTTGGGTGTGTTTTGTTTACTTTACTTACTATTTTCAAAAACTATAATTCTTTTTCATCCTTGGCACAGAAGTAACTTGAGTAGGTATTTCATCAAAATTCGAGCGGTACCTCTCAAGTTATAGGCATTATAAAATTAGTGGTCAGACAGACAGACCCACGGAAATGAATGACATAGTTTTTCGTGATGTAGGTGTCATAAGTACGAGTACGAGTATAACATCAAAAAAAAAAACATAATATCTCAATTTCGGAATTTTTAGAGAGAGAGACAGTACGTCCCTGGTAGTTTTGGCGTAGTAAGTAATAGGAATGTAATGCAAGAACTGCCAAAATCGTTGACCAGCTGCTTTCACTTAGTCTGAAATCTTCGGCTAACCAGCATCGTTTGTCGAGAAGAATGTCGAAAATGCCATTCATTTCCGTCGATCTGTAGGTCTGTCTATCTGTTTGCTAATCCTTAATCATTTTATATGGACACAAAAACGAAAAAGATAAAAGTCGCGACGCCCTGTAAGAAGGGTTTTGACAACATTGTCACATTTGCGAACTATAAGTTTTCTAATATTTGTTAGCGAGAAAAAGTTGTTAAAACATGGAAGTTGACCCAGGAGGATCAAAAAACGACGCAGTTCCACATACAATGAGGAAAGAACTGAGCGGTGGCGGAAACCAAGCAGAAGCAGAAAACATGAGCTCACTGACGCAGGCGAGGCAGATTCGAGACCTAATGGAGACCATCAAGGACAAGACAGCCAAAATTGACAGCCTGACCGCCCAGGTAACAATATTACTAAATTCAAAAGAATCCCCTAAAGAACGGACAAACACCCTAAAAAGACCACTGAGTAACGTTACTGATGATCATCTCACATCCACAGACGAAGACGTACAGACCGAAAGATTTGTAAAAGCAAAATCAAGAAGAAGGAAAGGCGACAAGGCTGATCGATTAACCCAAGACTTTCCTCCTCTCCGGAATACAGAATCAATTCCATTTCACACCTCCACCAATTCATCAAATCGAAACACTATTAATTCTTCTACTACCAAGCCAGCGACCACGTTATCTACCTGTCAGGTGACTCCGTCAGCCGATGTTACTTCTCCTCCGTCATCTCGTCCAACCGTCGTGGCATCAACACAACCCTCATGACAAGGGCGCATAACCCCGATCGTCTTACGCGACGGGACTAATGGCGTACTTTAAATTTCAAGTTTATTTCCCTAGGTATTGAAATAGATCGCGCGGTTGCCGTCGATGCGGGAATAAGCATTATTCCTAAATCCGAGGACGACTACCGTAAGATCGTTCGCCTATTCTGAGAGGAAGAAGTGCCCCATCACACTTTTGCTCTCCCTTCGGAACGGAACATCCATGCGGTGGTTCGAGGAGTTCCCGTCAACTTTTCGGATACTAAGATTAAGGGAGAACTGGAACAGAGGGGATATAGCCCTCTTCACATCATTGGATTGAAGCGCTGCGGCGGCACGCCCATGCCTTTGGTGGTCGTGATACTGCCCAAGACTGAAAAGTCTCAGCAAGTGTTCAACGAACACGAACTGCTGGGACTGGCCATTCGAGTTGAGGCTCAGAAGAACTCCAGACTCATTGGGCAGTGTCACCGCTGCCAAAAGTACGGGCATGCGCAGTCATATTGCACTGCACCACCCAAATGCTTAAAATGTGCAAAGGACCACATGACGCATTTGTGCCCCCTCACAGAAGAGGAAGAAGGCAAGTGCGCGAACTGTGGAGAGACACATTCCGCAAATAGCCGGACTTGCAAGTTCACTCCAAGGAGGAACTTGCAAGTTATAGCGCAAAGGCGCAATATATCATACGCGGGCGCAGCACGGGAGGCAACCTTGCCTGCCCCCTGTGCCCAAGCTCCCTTGAGCACGCAAAATGTGGACCTGGCAACCGCGCTACGGTCCTTACAACAAATAATAAGCCCACTGATTACCGCTACCCAAGCGTTGCAGGCGATATTTCCTGTAAATGTCTAGGTACAATAGACAGCCTGCATTCATCAAAATTCTTTTTTGGAATTGTTTGGGCATGAGACATATTCCCAAAAAACGGGAATTTCATCAAGCTCTTTTGGATGAAGGTATAGATATGGCCTTTCCGCAGGAAAAGTTGCTTAATCCGGGAGATTGTTTAGCTCTCTATTATAGAAGCACTAATGCGGAGATGCTTAGCATCGAAGCAGCTTCTGTGGTGGTCAATATGGCGGGAGGTGTCTCGTTGAAGATCACATCGGTGTATCTCAGGTGTGGTGCCAGGCTACAAGAGGCGGATCTAGAGGTCGTTTTGGACTACTCGGGTCCGCTTATTGTGGCAGGGGACTTCAACTGCAAACATCGAGCATGGAATTATAGGTTGAATTCCACTAGTGGGGTTCGATTGTACAACCATCCGCACAACCATCTTCAGGCACCAGATGAATCTTGTATGATATCTCTAGTGACCATCTACCAGTTGTCTTGGATGTGGGCAATGAGCAAACTTCTGAGAAGGCAGCTCCTCAAAGGAAACGCATTGATTGGAACCTATACAAGTTGCGCCTTAGAGAGTTTCCCAATATCCCAATTATAGATGATGAGTCTGGAATAGGTGCCGCTCAAGCGGAGTGGACAAGTTTCATTCAAGCAGCTCCACAGCGTGCAGCTGTATTTCCTGTACAACGATACGGCAGACCTTTTTTGCCTGCGGAAATTCGTCAGAAAATCTCTGATAAAAGAGCCGCTATTAAGCATCCAAAGGTCTTGTCATCCTGATGACATTCGTAGGGCTACAAATCTTGTCCATAAAGTGAGAAACGCACTGCACGAACTCCGCAACGAGCAATGGAGCGACTTTCTGGGGGGAATGCTTGATTCAAGTATTCCTCTCTGGAGGGTCGCAAAGTCACTCAGAAAGCGAGAACAACTCCCACACATCCACGGTCCTAAAAGCATAGTCTTCAGAACGGAGGATAAGGTCGAGGTTTTCGCTGGTGCCAGGGAAAAACAGTTCTCTCCTAATTATGATCTCGATAATGACCTCGACGAGGAACAGCACATCGTACGATCCGTCAGGAGATATTTTAGGGCCAACGGCGTTAGCGGAGGCACTGAATCCTCTTCAGATGTCTCTTCTTCAGAAGATTCGTCTGAGGCTCCACATAGCACATTAGCGGAACCCTCCGAGTTTCCACATTGCACACCAGCGGAGCTCCTAAGTCATATTAAAGACCTCAAGGTGCGTAAAGCACCTGGGGAGGATCAAATCACCAACAAGGCGTTGAAGCTGCTCTCGCCGAAAGCCATGACATACTTGGTGACAATAATCAATGCGACGCTCAAAGTCCAGTACTTCCCTGCTGGGTGGAAGACTGCTGAGGTCATCATGATTCCAAAGAAGGTGGGTTCAATATTTCCTCAGGATTACCATCCCATAAGTCTGCTGTCAGCTGCTTCTAAGCTCGCCGAAAAGGTGATTTATCGTCACCTTGAGAATTTTTCGTCAAATCACCATGTGACTCCTGACGTCCAATTCGGTTTTCGGTCCGAGCATAGCACGAAGCTACAGGCAGTCAGGCTGGTGGAACATTTAACCAGAGGGTTCACCCTCAGCATGAGTACTGGCATCTTGCTTTTGGATGTCTCAAAAGCCTTTGACAATGTGTGGCACGCGGGCCTCCTCTATAAACTAATCCAAAAGGGTTTTCCTTTTTGGCTTCTAAAATTACTGAAATCCTTTCTTGAAGGAAGGAAGTTTCGGATCAAAATTAGCAATGTTTTGTCAACAACACGGCCAGTACGGGCCGGTGTTCCTCAGGGTTCGGTCCTAGGACCAATTCTTTATTCGCTTTTCATCCATGATCTCCCTTCCCCCAGCAACTGTGACGTCTACCTCTATGCTGACGACACTGCGCTTGCCGTACATTCGTGTACTGGTGATGTGGTTCACGATGGGTTGCAGAATGCGGTGCGGTGGATGAAGTTCTAGAGTGGGCGGAACGGTGGCTGATAAAAATTAATCATTCGAAAACGCAGGCTATTTATTGTACCAAAAAACGTCGCGGCCCCCCCAGCAGAGGTTTCTGTAGACGGAAATCGTGTACCATGGACAAATTCTGCCAAGTATCTCGGTGTCACCCTTGATAAAGGCATGACCTGGCAGAAACATACAGCATCCATAAAAACAAAATTCCAAATTATGTCTCGGCAACTATATACTTTGTTATGTAGATCCTCCAAATTGAGTTTGATAAACAAAGTTCGACTATATAAAATGATTATTAGACCAGCCATTACTTATGCATGTGCGGCTTGGTGTTTTATTGCCAAGCAGAACTTTGCGGACAATTTGCAACGCTTCATGGTATGTCTCAAATGAGACACTACACAGAGACCTTGACATTCCTTACTTGAGGGATTATGTCAAGCTTCAGGCGCAGCGACGTACAGCAACCCTCTGTTACGTGACTCAGTGGACTACATAGTGGAGCAAGTTCGTAAACATTCAAGGCCACGGCTCGCACTGTAATCAAAAGTTAGCGTGAATCTTTATTAAACTCATAATTACACGCTAACAAAACCGAATCAAACAAAATTGTTTAGTTCACCTCAAAATTAATCCGTGTACCAAGTCAAAAAGCCTAGGTGTTTCCTCTTAAACTAAGCATATCTGTTTTTCTTCGCTCTTCTCCTTTTTTCTTCTCTTTCCCTTTCTCTTTTTCCTTGACTTTGTCTGGTTTCTGGGCAACCAGGACTGACAGATTTGACTAACGTACATCAGACAGTGACTAATGGGCAAAGGTCCTACGGACCGCCCAGACAAACAAATGACGAATAGTAGATAAAAGTCGCTCAAACTTCATGTTTTGACGTTTTACAGACTCATTTTCAGTTATAGATATTTTGTTGTTTAGTTCAGGGACCTAATCTTCTTTATTTAGTTACTTCGATAAAATTCTACATTATATCAATAATTATGTAACCTCTTCCAAATTTATCTATTATAAATAAATATTCCAGAACTCTGAATATTTTTCGCTTAAATATGAAATTAATTATGATGTACATAACACAGAGCATTGGTTAAATTTTCTATTTAATTATATTCATTGTAATCAGTGTTATATAAATTATTGTGCCATACAACATTCATTTAGTCATTGTAGTTCCATGTTTTCTGTTTGCTTTAAGAACCCTCTCACTCTGAAATGCTATTAATTATACCAACAGTCACTGAAGAGCTTGAACCCTAGTAATTTGGACGTAGTACCAGGTATTTTTACACTCAAAATAAGTCGATTGGACATGATTTACGTAAATGCAAAAGTGCCTCGTTTGTCCGTTGGGGGTTACATTTTTTCAGATGTTGTTGCTCTGTACGGCCTGGCGTTATCATCGATGAAGACAAATTCCTCCCAAAAATGAAATGAAATGTTAGATTTTACCATTGTGCATAGCCGCAGCCAAAACGGTAAGGCCACCTCCACCAAACGACTCTTCTGGAGCCATATTTTCTTCATCATATCGTTCCCCAGCATGCCTCCAAACATAACCCTACCATGAGAGTGGTATAGGTTGCAGTGTGTTGCATCGGAAAACATGCAATTTTGTCATTGCTGATACCAATTTACCATCTCATGTGCCCATCGGTACCTGGCGACTCTATGATTGTTCAAGAGTCGGGTACACCTGGCGCGACGCTCTATTCTTACAGTATGACTGGATGCTATTATTCCATTGTGCCGCCGTAAGTTTTCATTCAAGTCTCTAGGTGAAAGTGTCCTCCTTTGCCTTACCTCCTGGATTAAATGTCTTTAGGCCTGACGTCGTATTTTTTTGACTACCTCCTCCATGCAAGTACGAGGTTTGAATTTGGGCAAAATTTTTCATGTTGCAAAGCAACTGACCACCAGTTCGGAACTGCCTGTTGGAACAAACATTATATTTGACAAAAATAGCACGTTCGGACCTGACATCATGCTTGCAAGCCTTGCTGACTTTGTGAGATATGTACGAGCCCCTTCCCACTTCAGTTGGCCCACTTCAAGATTTGTACCAAAATATGTCTTTATAAACTAAACATGACGAAACTACTTACTTCTAAAGCAAATTGTTTCCTCAAAAACATTTTAGATACACTCTAGTCATAAAAATACTTATTTGAAATCACTTAGACCTATAACTAATGGAACATCTGAACAAATAAACAATGTGCGAATAAATGCGCGAAGTTAACAAAGCAACAATTGAAAGATTACCATTGGGTAACATCACCTTTATTTTTTATTACGGCTGAAATTCTTTGGGGCATAGTGTTAACCAAGTTTTGGCAAAAATTTGGCGTAAAACAATCCCATATTTCTTGAAGCTTTTGTCTCAGTTCGGTGATTGTACGCGCAGGATGTTGTTGTAGAACCTTTTTCATCTCGTGCCACAAAGTTTCAATAGGTGACAGATCTGGACTGCTAGAAACCCAATTCAAAAGTGGTACATTATTTTCTTCCATCCATTTTATAGCCTTTTTTGAGGTATGGCACGCTGCAGCATCTTGCTGAAACACAAAATCTTGGCCGGATGTCAAACATTCTTCCATCACTGGTAAAAGAGATTCTTCTAAAATTACCAAATA